TTCTTTCACTCTTTGGTAGGCATGGGCAAACTTCAGCCCTCCAGGTGTTTTGGACTTCATCTCCCACAATTCCTAACAGCCTGCTGTTGGATTCCAAAACACCTGGAGGGCTGAAGTTTGCCCATGTCTGCTCTATGGCTTTTGGGTTTGTCAGGACTGACTATTTTAGTCTGGATCTCATAATTCACTTAATACTTAAAGACTTAAAGACTTTTAAAGGTAATTGTGTGTATAGACTGTGAACATCTCCCTCATTTCTTTTAACTTAACAAAGCAGTTAAAATCTATGGACTACAATAGGTTTCCTTCTGAGGCATGAGTTAATGACTCCTTTGTTCATTTGTAGATGGCATGATTTTTAGTGTTTGTCATTTTGAGTCTCCCTTGAGAGAGGAAAAAGTGGGATATAAATATTGTTTATTATTATTATTATTATTATTATTTGTAGGTACCTTTGGATAAAGAACAGTGCATGTAGGCAGGCATCTAAATCCATGTTTTCAAGGAAAATTTAAAAAGAAACAATATCTTTGGAACATGGTTTTAAGCAAAGAAACAATGCATGCTCAAACCATATCTATTTTGTATGTGGAAGCTTCTACCTTTGAATTATCAGTAGCCATTTCTGCTCCATTCAGTAGAGTACCTTCTGCATGGTTATCAAGATAGCTATTAATGATAACAGTGATAATCAGCATGATTGCTAATTGTTACAGTAGAACTGAACATGGTGAGCCTAAACGGCTGGATTGGATGTTATCGGTAGGGCCAGTGCTTGGAAAAGTTCCATATGGGGAGAAATGTAATGCTGGTGAATACATCAAAAGATGAATTATTTGTTGAACTGAAGTTAACTTTAGATTATAAAGTGAATGTAGATATTCAAGTTATGATAGTTTTCCATTAGTTAGTTTGTATAGCAATATCTAGCTCTTTCAAGAAGACTTCTGAATACTGGGCCAGAAAGTCATGGTGGATAATCGCAAAGCAACTCTTGGGGGATGAGATTGACTTTTTGATATAAGAAAGTGAGACTTAAAACTACACTGTTTCTGCTCCCAATTGTTTTCAATGTGTAATATTGGTTTCAGCACCCACTAAATACAAGTAGTGGGGCAGTGACATTTTTGCTTTCAAAGTAATTCTTATAGGGAGGTCCCGTGTCATGTTTTTCAAGATTTTTCCACTTTAAAACAAATTTAGCAGTGTAGCTGTTGTGATGGGGAACAGATATGACTTCTACCTACCTCTAGACATCACCAGATTTAGTTTAAAAGCAGTACCGTTTCTTGACAGAGATAGTCAAAACCAGCCTGTGAAATTTTGAAGCCTTCCATGTGTTTATGTATATGTATTTAAAAGCCTGCTCAACATTAAAGAATATTGAAACGCAAATTGTCCCTGCTAAAAATTAGAGGGTTTTGGATATTGAATGTCTCAGTTTGTCAGTGCAGATAACTCAATCAATGAAGCCACCCTGAGTCCCACTTCGGGGGTGAGAAGGGTGGGGTAGAAATGGTGTAAATAATAAATAAATAAATAAATAAATACAGTAGAGTTATTATTTTTATTATTAACTTTATTTATACCCTGCAAAATCTCCCGAAGGACTCGATGCGGCTTACAAAGGCCAAGGCTGCCAACAAACAACAGTATACAAATACAACAATAAAACTCATAAGCAAATAATAAAAGAGTCTCACTTATCCAACATGAACTGGATGGCAGAACCTTGGATAAGTGAAAATGTTGGATAATAAAGAGGGGGAAGCCTATTAAACATCATTTTGTGTTATGATTTTACAAATTAAGCACCAAAACATCAAGCTTTACAAGAAATCGACAGAAAAAGCAGTTCAGTACACTGTAACATTATGTAGTGATTACTGTATTTAAGAATCTAGCACCAAAAAATCACAATTTATTGAAACTGCTGTGGATCCAGGCAGGAGGCAGACCATGTTGGATAAGATACAGAATGTTGGATGAGTGAAAGTTGGATAAGCGAAACTCTACTGTACTTTTAAAAATGGATACTGTTCCATTATCCAGGCAGAGGCCACTAGGGGGTGCTAGAGAGAGAAGGGTAGTTCATTTGGCATGGGGGGAGGAGTTGAAGGAGGAAAACCATTTCCCCAGTTTTTGCTGGTTATTCCCCCTCCCTCCCCTTCCAGTATCATAAACAAGGGTTGTTTCCATGACGGGGCACGAGTGGGGGGAATAATAGGAAAACAAGGGAAAATGGTTTTCCTGCTTCAACCCACCTTCCACCCCATAAAATGGACTAGTCCTCTCTCTCTAGCGCCTTCTAGTGGCCTCCACCCAGATAATGGAACAGTACATGAATATACTAAAATGTATATTCATCAGAACACTTATTGGGTATGAAAGCAATTATAAAAGAACTGCAGTTTAATAGTTGAGTGTAGGACATGAAAGTCTTACATTGCCTAGGTTCAGTTTCCAGCTTCTCCCATTAAAAAGATGATTTTTGCTAGCAGAATTAGATAGTAGATTTCATTGGAGGAATGTTTGGCAATTTGAGCAGACAGAGGTGTATTAGATGGAGCAGAGGTCTGATACAGTATGAGGTAACTTCATATGCCTAGATGTTGTATGATATGTATCAAGCCAGAGTATCTAATATATAAAATAAGGAGAAATCTTATTGTTCACAGTATAGGTTTGTGTATCCATGCAATAAAAAAGATCAGCTCTTGTTTAAAAAAATGCAGTCCTGATGTTATGGAAATAAATGCTGGCGGTAGATAGTGAAAATAATTTTCATTTCACAAATATGAATCCTACTGTGGACACGAAGTAGATATGAATTTAGTCATGAAAGTAAACTATACTTTATTAGGATTGCAATTTAGGTGGATATTATTTTTAAAACCTTCTTAACATGGATGTGTGAAATAAAAATGGATTTTACAAAATGAGAGGGAAGAATTAATGATCTAATAAAAAGGTACAACGGCAACCTAGTTTACTCCTAGCTGTCAAGAAAAGCTTTTAATATGAGATATGATCCGATTAAGGTAGTGTTCAGGCTACATAGTAATTTGTGCCTTGTGTGTGCACTCCATCCCCCCAAGTTTAATTTCATCAATAAATCAGGGAATCCGAAATTTCGATTCATAGATAGTGGCAACAAAAGGAAAAAAACAATAATTTTCTATAGTCGTTTTCCATCCAAAAGTAGCTACAGTGCTTCCCTGAAACATGCAATTATCTCTCTACCAATGAATCTGTGAGAAACAAAAACTACTTGATATGGCTGAATTGTACCTGAAATTTACAGCCTATATCAGCGCTTGTGCTTATATTGTCCCTTTACAGTATACACAGTATATATCCATATTTTTATATGTTAACATATATACTAATAATTTTAGTAGAATATATTGAAATATGTTATTCTTCATTGAAATTGGTTGTAGGACAGATTGTAGTAAATTAAAATATGCCCCACCCGCAGCCAAGCAAAATTTGGGGGGGGGGCAGTTTGAATGACCCATGAAGGAACCAGACGTAGTTGAGGCTGGCTGGTTTGCCGGCCCATGCATGTGAAGCGGTGGAGCAACAAGTTGGAGGAGGTTGCTCTGTTCCCCTCTTTCAGTTTTCCTTGTGCCAGCGTGACCCACCCTCTCACCCTATGGACAAGTGTGAGTATAGACTGATTGCACAAGGGTTGGGTAGGAATCCCCCCCCCCCGAAGTTTGCGTTGGGATTTTTTCATCTAACCCAACACTGTTTCAGATGGGTGTGAGAATTGGCTTTGGGATGGCATCATTTAAATAGGTTTCCTTGAGTCATTATTAAGATTACAAGGCATGATAAAGGTTGAATAATCACTGTAGGCACTGTGGATGGACTCCCACAAAAGTCCCGAAAATGGGAGCTACCCTTGGGGATGGATTGAGAGTTCTCTTTAAAAACCCTGTGGTTTGGGAGAGAGCAACCTCAGGATAGCCTTCCAACTATGATCGGTTGACAGTGCAGCCAAAGAATTTTGGTTGGCCTTCAGGATCCTTGGTGCATGCATGTCCGTGGAAGGGGTCAGAGGGAGTAACACCTGGCCTAGGGAGAAGGCTCACTAGGTGGCCATTAACCCCGCCCATATCAGCCCGCAGGTGACTCAGCCCGCAGGTGACTACATATTGGCACAATTCGATGCCATCAATACAATACAACAGCAAAAACAATTAAGTGCATTTAGACAAAAGAGACAGTGCAATAACAGTTTAAAAAGAGCTATATCCTCTCATTCCAATCCTCATCTGTTTCATTGTCTTGGCTGTTCCTGGGTCATTCTCCATCTCAAGCTTGACTATCTATTCTGGGGTTCCGAAGGCTTGCTCGAAGAGCCAGGTTTTTACTTTCTTCCAAAAAGTCAGGAGGGAGGGGGCTGATCTAATATCCCCTTCACACATTCTTAATTCTTGTAACAGCAGTTTATACCAAAACAACTGTAACAACATAGTATTTCCAGTTGAATTGGTTATTTAAGGAACAACAATACTAATAGCCGGTTAATGAATGAAAAACACTGAGTCTATGCCCCATGCAACGGTCTTAGGTCAAAACCTCACTACCTCTGAGGATGCTTGCCATAGATGCAGGCGAAACGTCAGGAGAGAATGCCTCTAGAACATGGCCACATAGCCCGAAAAAACCTACAACAACCCAGTTATTCCGGCCATGAAAGCCTTCAACAAGACAATGTTAATAATATATTTTAAAAGATGGTCTTCTTTATAAATATCACTCAACTTGTAGAGTAAGGGAGCACTACATCAATGCGAGCAGAAAAAGAAGCTTTGTTTATTTCAATGCATCTTTGATATCAATTTTGCAAATGTTAATCTGTTTATAATAGCAATGGCTTTGTGCAATATTTGTGGTGTGTGTAGCTAGCTGACTATAGAAAATAAATGTCATTGTTTTCACTCTGCCTGGGGGAAAAATGAAAGGTAATTTCTTTTTGAATTCTCCAGGGTTTGAGCCATCTCCACCAGCACAAAGTAATCCATCGAGATATTAAGGGACAGAATGTTTTGCTGACAGAAAATGCAGAAGTAAAGCTAGGTAAGAATCTACACACACAAACACACACACACCCATTTGGGGAAAACATTTCCTAAACAGAGTACATTTGTCGTGATCATCTAAGGAATGTGATTCTTTGCCTGATGTCAAATCAAGGGTTCTTCTAAGAGTAAAGAATGCTAGCCTTTATACCATCCCAAATAAGGAATTTGGAAAGAAGGTAATTAGTATTGAATCTTCATTACCATTAAAGAAATCTTCATTGCCATTAAAGAATCCTAAAGAACTTTCTCAGAATTTCTTAAGCTGTAGTCTGTTGAATTTCATTTCAAAATTCATGTAACTTCCAATGATTGTACCTAGATTGTGGGAAGAGGGCCTTCATCACATGTGAAGATTACTCGGCGTTGTTTCCTTTTTCCTTCTTGATATGAGACTGGTCAAACTGCTTTAAACTTCATCAAAACTCTCCTATGGTTTTTGATTTCTAGTGGATTTTGGAGTCAGTGCTCAGCTTGACAGGACAGTTGGCCGAAGAAATACATTCATTGGGACTCCATACTGGATGGCCCCTGAGGTTATTGCCTGTGATGAAAACCCTGATGCCACATATGACTTCAAGGTATTTACATTTTTATTGGCTAAAGTTATCCTGAGATCAGTACTGGATTTTAGCTTGTTTTACATCTGAAAAGAAACTACAAGTCCCACCTTGGTTAAAGATGGAGCTTAATAACATCCGGGAAAGTGGTGATGGTGGTGGGTGTCTACAAGAAGATTTACTGCAAAGTATACCATTGTTTAGTTGGAACAGCACAATCTGTGGTCCTCCAGATGTTTGGGACTCCAACCTCCAGTAGCCCTAGCCAGCTTGTCCAAGGATCAGGAATTCTGGGACCTGAAGTCCATAAAACATTTGGAGGGCCACAGATAGTGTAGATCTGACTTAGACCTTAAGAACCTTCACTTGAACCCCTTCCAAGTCTGGTAAGGTATTATAAGAGGAGGGCACAGTATGTAGGGTAAACTAGTGGCCAGTTCACAGAACATGAGAGGTCTAAGGCCATACTGCATGTGGCTTGTTTGCTTTTGTTATTTGCCATTATGTCAACTCTGACTTATGATGACCTTATGAATTAGAGCTTTCCACTTTATTGACCATTATTGTCACTTTGCCTTACGATATCTTCAAAATACAAGATTTGCAATGTATTCCTTTTAGTTTATACTGAGAATTCAGTCCTGATTTGCTTCAGGGTCCATTCATTTGTTGTTGTTGTTTTATGGTTGTTTTTGTAGTCCGAGATAGCTATAGTATTTAAGCAAGTATGCTTAACTTCTCATTAGAGGACCAGTTTTCTTTTGAAAATTGCCTCCTCTCTGGCTGCTGTTTGCAGGTTAATTTGTAGTAAGCTACACGTGTAAGAGTGCCTGCCAGAAGAGAAAAGTCTTCATTTTATTTAATTGTGTTTTTATCTGGATTGTTATATTTTACTATGCCCTTATTTTAATTGTGTTTTTGCTTTAATTGATATTTTGTATTTATCTCCTGTGGGCATTTGGTCCTATATGTATGCTGCCCTGAATCCCTTTGGGGAGATGGTGGCAGGGTATAAGAATACAGTTATTAGTATTAGTATTAGTATTAAAGGTAAAGGTTTTCCCCTGACATTAAGTCCAGTCGTGTCCAACTCTGGGATGTGGTGCTCATCTCCATTTCGAAGCCGAAGAGCCAGCATTGTCCGTAGACACCTCCAAGGTCATGTGGCCAGCATGACTGCATGGAACTTAGTATTAGTATTAGTATTAGTATTAGGAGAGTGTTTGAGAAGAACGGGCTAGACCAGGCATGGGCAAACTTGGGCTCTCCGGGTGTTTAGAACTTCAACTCCTACAATGAGTAGGCTGTTAGGAATTATGGGAGTTGAAGTCCAAAACACCTGGAGGCCCCAAGTTTGTCCTTGCCTGGGTTAGACCCTGGATTTCAGTTGAAGCCCCTTAGTTCCTTTTTTGTTCATTATCATGATCACCATCAATTGCTTCTTTATTTATGTCCCATGCTTTTATAAACCTTATAAAGATGGTGTGCAAAGTTAAAACAAATACAATAAAAATGCACATGACTAAGCTATATAAAAGTTGAAAAATATAAATATAATTAAAAGCAATTTTAAAACAAATCCAGTAAAAAGAAAAAAAAACAGCACAGCAACTGACTATATAGCACCGTATTGAAAGTCCTTTCCCCATTAGCCATTAATTCTCCAAGGCTTGTTGAAACAAAAAGTTCACTGTGGAGTGTCCAAAATGGGTATGCTGCTTAGACAGCTGCTTGGGTCTCTATCACTTGAAATGTATAGGTGTCCATTATTTTCAAATACCCATTCTTTGGATGCTCTATAATTGTTATAATATATACTGTAATTGTACATGCATTTATCCCATATGAGGAGAAGTATTGTGGTTTGTGGACAGTGTCTCAGATTATAAATGAGAAAACTCAGGCTCAAATCCCCAATAATTATCTATTATCTTAGCCTGCCTTACATTATTATTGTGTGTATAAAATAAGGGAAAACCAAAGATTGCCAAAGGATTTTGGAGGAAAGATGGGATTAAAAATGAATAGTGATTTAAATATGGATGTAAGAGCTGGACCATAGGGAATTCTGAGCGAAGGAAGATAGATGCTTTTGAACTATGGTGTTGTAGGAAAATTCTGAAGGAAGATCAAACCAGTCGAACCAGTCCATACTCCAGAAAATGAAGCCCAACTGCTCACTGGAAGGAAGGATGTTAACGGCAAATATGAAGTGCTTTGGCCACATAATGACAAGACAGGAAAGCTTGATAATGATTCTGGGGAAAATGGAAGGAAAAAGGAAGAGAGGCTGACTGAGGGCGAGAAGGATGGATGTTATCCTTGAAGTGACTGTCTCAACTTTGAAGGAACTGAGGGTAGCAATGGTCAACAGTGAGCTCTGGCATGGGCTGGTCCAGGAGGTCATAAAGAGTCGGAAGTGACTGAACAAATAAACAACAACAAACATGTAACATCAAGAAAGAAATCCTTAGGACTTCTGTAGAAGTGCATTGAGAGTTTAAGTGTCCATGGTTCAAGCTATAATGTTTTGAAGCATGCCAAATACATTTAAAATAACAGTTGGAATCATTCTGTCCTAAACCTGCTCACTTACAGGCAAAGAGAAGTTGTTTGAGTGAGTGAAGCCTGTCAAAAGCTTGTCAGCGAAGGTTTTCTGCTTTGCCAGAACCATATTGATTCCTTGTTAATTTTTTTCTATTCTGAACACAATCTGATGAACAGTCCATAAGGCAACCAGTCACTGGAAAGTGAACTTGATATTCATTAGGGATGTGTCATTGCCATTAAAAGTTTGGATTTCAGGCCTTATGCCAGATGGTTTTGGACTCCAGCCAGTAATATGGAACTGCACACCTTTCCCAACATCTTCAAAAAACCTGACTTGTAAATTAACAAGTAAAAGATGCAGTCATTGTGGCTCTCTTTAGAAATTCTGTAGAAGGCTAGACAATTAAAATAAATAGATTAAAGAGAAATCATAAAATTGGGAGACCAGTTTAAAAATTTAAGTAAATGAAAAGTCTTACCTCTATACCTATAGTAGGAAAATGGTGGCTTGCCAGATGTTATTGCACTGCATCGCCTGTCATCCCTGAAAATTGCCTGTGTTGGCGAATTGGTTGAGTACAACATCTAGAAAAGTTCCCCAGATCAACAGCATGAGTAACATGTATGCCAGGGGAATCACAATTCAGTGACAGGAGACAACAGGATTGAAAAGGCTGCAGCTGGGAAGTGGAAGTTGCCAAAGTTAGGAAGCAAAGAGAAAGACAAGTGGGAGAAATTCCCTGAATCTCTGGAGGAAATATCTGGGAAACCATTTCTGTTCTCTTTTTCTCAGCCACATTTACAAGTTTTTATCAGTTATGAGCATGCGAAGCACTTTGTACATCCAGACCTAATCATATGCTCTTAGGAAACACTGAAGCTGACTTCAGATATGGGTTTTCTGGTCACTTAGCTGATTGACAAGAAGAAGTTAACAGTTGTCCTAGGCTCTTGACACAGTTGTTCCCAAATGCTTTCTCAGCCAGCAATGGAAAGAAATGTCTCCTTGATTTGACCAGTAGCTCCAGGAGATGGAGCCATGAGGGAGGTGTCTTGAGTGTAAGAAGAGGAAAATTGATGCTGAATTTGATCAAGCATTGCCTGGAGCTCATTTCAGAACATAGCAGTGATGGCATTCAACCCTTGTCCTTTTGTGGCTTATATCTTCAGCTCCACTAATTCAATTAAGATGCTGAGCTGAATGCATCAGTGCATCAAAGGAGGCTGTGCTGAAGCTTGTCCAACTGAAAAAGGCAATAGCAATTTGACCTTTGCTAGGAGAACATCAGGCTCCTTGGATTTAGCATAGAGGCGGGCAAATTGTAGTCCATGGACTTCATTTTCATAGCCCTTGAAGTTTTCCACCAGTCTCTAAAAGTCCCAATTTTTAAAATAACTGCTTTTTATTTTGGGGCAGTTTTGCCCCCAAACTACATAGAAAGAGTGTCAACACAAGATGAGGTCAGATTTGTCTCTTTGTCTCCAAGCTCTAGATAAATGTAGCTGTTTAGATAGTTAATCTTCAGACGTCACTCTTTTTCTGGCCCTATTCAACTTGTTTCATTTTTTTAGATTAGAAGCCACTTGTGTGCATATTTTATGTTTTTATCAGTATCCTTCCTTTTCAATTAGGGGCTCAAGTTTTTTTTATATGCCATTTATCCTCACATATACCTTTGAAGTTCATGTGAGACGGGGATTCACTCGAAATCACCTACTGAGAAGAGGATTTTCTTGTGCTTTGGAATCTTTGCGTAGATTTTCCCTGTGCTTTTGCCTCTAATACAATATGACTTATATATGCATGTGTTTAAAAGTTGTGTTGATCCTGTTGCTCAGCACCACAAATGCACTCTAGAGATTCTCTCCCCTCTAGCTCAGAATTGACCCTACTCTAATACTGTAGTGGCTATACTGTATGCGTTTGTCTGGCATACTGTGAGTTTGTTGGATGCTATATTTGGCTCTTTGGGTTCTTTGATAGACCACCAGAAGCAACTGAAAGTCTGAGAGGGTTTTTTTTTTTTGTTTCAAGGTCTTCCTAACCCACCCACTCCACAGCTCCATACAGTGTTTTGAGACCATATCTCCAAACTCTATGGAGGGGGGCATTCCTTGAAAGGAAGGATTAAGAGATCAGGGGGGATTGAAAGAGAAGACATGGGCTTCACTCCCCTCAAGAGCTCCATGTGACCCATGGACCACATGATTCCTGTGTTCTGTATTTACTGTGCATAATACATGTATTCAATGTGTAGACATTGTAGCCCAGAGTCCTTTTTACTCCTATAAGAGTTATATGATAAAGTTCAAAGGAATGAGGAATTGACAGAAGGGCGATCCTGTGAAGGGGAATGGTAAATAATTGCCTGATGTTATTGCAGGAAGATTAACTGCTGGCCTGCTTGGGCTTTTCCATTTCAAAGAGTTATTCTTTTGTTATTGAAAGAGGATCACATAGGATTACAAAGCTTCAATGTTCTCAGATAGCAATTGTTTTGGGTTCTCTTTCTTCCCTCCGTCATGAGGAGGGCAGGTCAGCTCTCCAGTTCCAGCTATGTATGTGTCTGTATGTGCCTTCAATTATGGGAAGAACATTTAAAATAATGATGTCTGAGAGGCCTAAATCTTCTGATCCGAGAAGATCAGGATTTTTTTACATTACAGATCAAATCCTTAAAGCAGTGAAATGGCTGAAAACTTCTTCTGATGTATCTTTAGCTCTTCCAGATGGCCCTTGTTGCAGCCTTGTGCATTTCTTAACAGTTTTGTTGGTGGTTGTTTCTTTCAGAGCGATTTGTGGTCTTTGGGGATAACAGCTATTGAGATGGCAGAAGGAGCTCCACGTGAGTGCAACCCAATTTCATGCTTTGTCATTCCTTTGATGTTTGCTTGTTAAGATTCACTATGTTTAGGCAAGGGGTCCAGTTGGCTGTGATAAAAATACAGGAAAGTAATCTCTAAGCAGAATGTTGACATTATGTGTGTGTATTTGCCTTTGAGTTACCCGTTGACTTATGGCAACTCCATAAATTTCATAGGGTTTTCTAAGCCAAAGGACATCCAGAGGTGATTTTGCCAGGTCCTTCCTCTGAAATATAGCCTACAACACCTGGAATTCATTGGAAGTCTCCTATCAAAGTATTTTCTGGCCCCTGGAATAATGGAGGGGGGATCCTTTAATATAAACTATTCTGTGTTGGGGATCAGCAAGGATTTTCCCACCTTGTTCCAGTGACCAGCAAATGGTTGGCTGGATCTATTTCTTGCTTCCTGGAAACTTGCCACAGATCAGGAGCCAATAATGCATGACAAAAAAAATCAGTCTAAAGACCACTGCTTTGAATATCAGTGCTCTCACCCAACATCCCCAGCATTTCAGAGTTTAGAAAAGTAATGGTATTCTGAAAAACTGTGATTCAGAAAAAGAATGCTTCCAGTTATAACCTTTAAAAAATAGATAATAAGTGGATGTAGCGGTGCTCCTTTTATATTTATCTTGGTTGCACTTTTTTTAAAAAAAATTACAATTAAAACTGAAATAAACTAAAGTAATAAAATAACCCTTGGTATTTAAAAGCAGTTTGCTGAAGCCCGGAAACAGGCCTATTCTTCAGGCACCATCAAATTGTGGCTTCATGTACAATAGTGTACAATGTTTGACAGTAGTTAATTGGTAGAATTTGATGTCAGTTGAATGGTGTGTCAACTTTGACGCACACAAGCACAGCCACCCACGCCTTATTTGTGACCAGCATTTTATCTGCTTTACTCATATATTTATTGTATTGTCAAAGGCTTTCAAGACTGGAGTCACTGAGTTGTTGTAGGTTTTTTGGGCTGTGTGGCCATGTTCTAGAAGCATTCTCTCCTGACGTTTCACCTGCTAATCAAGGTGGCCAATTGAAATATTTACATCTACCTCCAACAGACAAGAGTTCTTTCTTCCACCCTGGACTTTCCACAGATATATAAACCCAATTTTCCTAGTTTCCAACAGACCTCACAATGCCTGCCATAGATGCAGGTGAAACGACAAGAGATAATGCTTCTAGAACATAGCCATACAACCCAAAAAACCTACAACAACCCATGTATTTATTGTTTGTCCAATATTGGGCTTCTTTTCTCCTTTGGGTATAGTTGTGAGAGATTGAAGATAAACTTTGAACTTCCCCTTTCTCACTCTCCAACTTGGTATGAGAGACTCATACCAAGAAGCAAAGCAAATGAAAGGATGAGACAGTGCAAAAAACCTGGCTACAGGTCTCAGTGCCATTGTCCAAACTTCATGGTGACTTTTTACTTTTTCACATATGAAGGAATGAATGCTGTTTTCTTGCAAAGGAAAAAGGATTATCGACTCATAATAGAAGCATTTTTTCTCCCCTCCCCCTCATATACAGTTTTCCCTTTTGTCACATGAGCTAAAAGTAGGAGTAGTGAGAGAAGCAGCAGGCGATGGACCGACCTGTTGTAATGCTATTGTGGGGCTGCCATTTTAATTTCTAACAGGTCTCCAAAGCAGTGCTGTTCTACTCAATGTGATGGTGGTCTGTTTATTGGTGCCACTCCATGAATTATTGGTGTATAACAAGTTTTCCAGGGAAGAAAGAAGTTGTTGTCAAATGGTCACAAATATAGTGTCAGTCCTTAGGAAAGAAAAACATAGCGAATCCATCACATCAGACCTCTTAGGAAGGATAGGAGCCTCCAGGATGAGAAACAAGAGACAAATATGGCATTGTATTGTTGAATGCTTTCATGGCCGGAATCGCTGGGTTGTTGTAGGTTTTTCCGGGCTATATGGCCATGTTCTCTCCTGACATTTGTAGGTTTTTTCGAGCTATATGGCCATGTCCTCTCCATGTTCTCTCCTGACATTTTGCCTGCATCTATGGCAATATGGCATTGCTTTCTGATATATTGCGGAGAAAACCAGTCCCCCTTATCAATTAGTTTATGAAGCACTATTGTATTTGGCATTCCTTCAAATTTTTAAAGATGGCTGACATGTCACATCTCAGTCTTCCTCAAGCAAATGTTCCCAACTCCTTAAGCCAGTCCTCATAGGACTTTTGTCCCAAAACTGGACACAGAAGTCCAGGTAAAGTCTGAACAAAGCAGAAAGGAGTGATCCCATTAATTCAACTGGACACTATGCTCTTTTTAATGTAGGCTTGAATTGTGTTGGCTCTGAAAGAATGCCCTGCATATTCCATTATGTTTTGTACCTGATCCCTTCTGTTATGATTTTGCAGCCCTTTGTGACATGCATCCCATGAGAGCGTTATTCCTCATTCCTCGGAATCCAGCTCCCAGGTTGAAATCAAAGAAATGGTGAGTGTCTCTGCCCACTCCTCTCCATCTGTCTATGATTTGCATACTGTTAAAAAGCCATTATATTTGGTTTGCATACTGGGCAAGAGCAAGTAAACACAGAAACATTCTGCTGCAATGAAAACAGTCTGTTTTATTTCCTGTTGTGGTTGGTGAAAACCAAGCATGTGAGCAGTACTTACTGTGATGAAACTGTGAGGTCCTACAACCTGAGGGTGTGAGCAGTTATTGTAGCATATTGACTGAGAATCTCCCATATTTCAGTTCCCGGGAAAATTCAGGGAGTCTCTAATGCTCTTTAAAAATCTTCATGGGGCAGTTAACCTCCATAATATGCATCACTGGAAACAGAACATTGCAAGAATTTTGCCACCTGTCAGCCTTTTTGTTTTTTAGGAAGCCCTGAATTCACATGAAAAGCCATTTTTTAAAAAAAATCTAAGGTCAGCAGTTCCTTTCAAGGTTCAGTGGCTTCAAAGTTGTGATCTTAAATGGTTTTAGGTTTTGCCTACTTAGAGCATATGGCCACATTTGAGTTAGCATGTGAAAATCCTTGAGCTGGAGATCACTCGGTAAAGATGGAGAGAGAAAATGGGTCACTGCTGCAAACCCCTTGAATGTGGAAGATCAAGAATTCAATAGAACCTGCTGATATATAGAAGTATTTGGAGCATCACCTGCTGCTACACATTGTAATGGGAAGGGAATAAAATGGCTCAACTTCATTCTCCTTCCAGCGTCGCTGCATCCGTTTTCAAATGGACTTAATTCTAATAAAAGCGAGGAATGTTTCTTTTTTCTTCTTCCTTGCTATCAGGATAGAATCAAATGAAACAAATCCCCCCCCCCCACATTTTACGTGCTAACATGGCTTTAGTCTATGTTTAGTCCAGTAGAGCAATTTTGTTTTTTCTTAAAATTTATACTTGCCATCATTTCTTTCATCAAAATTTTATATCAGTAAGTAGTACCACACATGGTTGCAGGTATTTTTTTGATGCAAGCATCTTGTGGAGCCTTTCTTCTTTCCATTACAAATAGAAATGGGGATCCTTTTATTTTACAGTGATAGCCTAAACTCTGCAACGTCGATGGGGAACTTGGGCAGTATGTGATATAGGTTTTACCTGCTCCTTTCTTTGCTTTTAAAACTGGATTCAGTTGTTGACTTCTATCTATAATTGAATATAAGTTTATTGGCCCATTACTCACTTCTAAGGCCTTTTCAAATGATATAATTCAAACACAACACAATGCTTCCACTTTAACTGCTATTTTACTTACTTACTTACTTACTTACTTACTTATTTACTGGTTCAAGATTGGGAAAGGCATACGGCAGGGTTGTATACTCTCATCCAACCTATTCAACTTGTATGCAGAACACATCATGCAATGTGCAGGGCTTGGCAAATGCAAGGCTGGGGTGAAAATTGCTGGAAGAAACATTAACAACCTTAGATATGCAGATGACACCACTTTGATGTCCAAAAGTGAGGAGGAGCCTTCTAATCAAGGTGAAAGAAGAAAGCACAAAAGCTGGGTTGCAGTTAAACATAAAAAAAACCCAAGATTATGGCAACAAGAATGATTGACAACTGGGAAATAGAGGGAGAAGACGTGGAGGAAGTGAAAGACTTTGTATTTCTAGGTGCAAAGATTACTGCAGGTGCAGACTGCAGCCAGGAAATCAGGAGACGCTTACTTCTTGGGAGGAGAGCAATGTCCAATCTCGATAAAATAGTGAAGAGTAGAGACATCACACTGGCAACAAAGATCCGCATAGTTAAAGCAGTGGTATTCCCCATAGTCACCTACAGATGTGAGAGCTGGATCATAGGGAAGGATGAGCGAAGGAAGATAGATGCTTTTGAACTGTTGTGTTGGAGGAAAGTTCTGAGAGTGCCTTGGACTGCGAGACGATCCAACCAGTCCATACTCCAGGAAATAAAGCCCGACTGCTCATTGGAGGGAAAGATATTAGAGACAAAGTTGAAGTATTTTGGCCACATCATGAGGAGACAGGAAAGCTTAGAGAAGACAATGATGCTGGGGAAAATGGAAGGAAAAAGGAAGAGGGACCGACCAAAGGCAAGATGGATGGATGGCATCCTTGAAGTGACTGGCTTGACTCTGAAGGAGCTGGGGGAGGTGACGGCCGACAGGGGGCTCTGGCGTGGACTGGTCCATGAGGTCACAAAGAGTCGGAAACAACTGAATGAATGAACAACAACAAACTTACTTACTTACTTTCACTAGTATACTGCTTTATTCCCCCAGCAGGGGACTCAGAGTGCTTTCCAACATAATTATGGCAAAATGTAATGCCTCACATACAGAAAACTAGCATAATGATAATAACATACAAATATCAATTAAATCATAAAACATGACATCTTTTAGCATTAAAAAAATAAATTAAAAGCATATCAATGTAAACATTAAAATCACACAATCCAACAATCGTAGTCCAGGCTGTTCCAAATATCATACCTATTGCACATAATCCCTGATCATTCCTTGTACTGCTTACTGCCCAAAGGCCTGGTCCCACAGTCAAGTTTTTACCTTTCTTCTTAAGGCCAGGAAGGAGGGCGTTGATCTAATTTCATTGGGGAGGGAGTTCCATAGCTCTCGTCCCCAGCAATCGCACTCGCAAGGGAGGTGGAACCAAGAGCAGGGCCTCCCCAGATGATCTTAATCTCTGAGTTGGTTCATAGAGGGAGATACGTTCGTACAAGTAAGCTGGGCCAGAACTGTTTAGGATTTTATAGACTAAAGCCAGCACTTTGAATTGTGCACTGTAGCAGACTGGCAGCTAGTGGAGTAGGCGTAACGGGGGGTTATGTCCTCCATATACCCTACTCCAACGAGTAATCTGGCTGCTGCCCATTGAACCAATTGAAGCTTCCAAAACAATCTTCAAGCAACCCCATATAGTATGTGTTGCAGTAATCTATACAGGATATAACCAGAGCGTGGACTGCTGTTGCCAAGTCTGATGTCCCAAGTCAGACCTGGCCAAGGTATAGCTGCATCCTATTGACTTCTGCAGATCTTACAATTTCACAAAAAATTGCCATAGCAGTTAAAGTAAGATCATACACTGGGCTTTTAAAAATATTTGTTTAATTTACTTTATTTCATTTGAAATTCGTTTTAATGGTTGATCTTGTTTTAGACTTGTTTTTTTAAAAAAATGTAACTGGGTGTCCTCACCACTCCAACCAAGACGTTTTGCACATCATATTTAAACCAAAACCATCCCAAATGTACCCTTCAGATCTGTTGAAAAATCATCCAACCATTTTCATATGCTGGAGTAACAAATGAAGAAATACAAGGAAACTGGATTTTTATATTGATAGAGAACTAACAAGGTCGGCTTAGGCAGTGTGTTCACTCCCAGTGTGCCATGTTTATCAGGCTGGAGCTGAGTGCATTCATGATCTGTATAAATGAGATATTACAGGGAAGGTAAAAGATAAAGCCTCATGGGGGAAGTCTCTCAAAAATTACACTGGGAAATTGACCGAATATTCAGAATGGGTTTTATTTATTCATAGTTCCAAAATTGGATTTACAGATGGAAAAACAAGGATCAACATCCAGAAGCATAGGCAGAGGGAGAGCAACAAGCTTGCTGTAATACTTAGCCGTAATAGTTTTAATCTCGGGGTCATTCAGAGGGTAGTGCAGTCAGTTATATTTGACAAGCGGAGGCTTAGATTGAATCCACTACTTAGTCCTCTTTCGGGTGAACTATCCCTCTTTAACTTTCAGTTGCAACACTGAGGATGTCCTTTCTTTCCACTTTCTGATTTTACCATAAAGGACAGGCTTCCCTCTTGTCAGATTTCACCTTCCTCAGATGAAGCTGTCAGGCTTGGCAGATTGCTTTGTTATACCCTGATATAAATGGCAAAGGAGGTGGAGATAATCTTACCAGGGTGGTTTCTCCCTTCCCCAGAAGCAATGTGGTTTCTTAAGACGAAGACACATTCAAATAAGAACTATAATTGCATCATAAAATTGAAACTAAAATAGGATGCTTATTTGAAAGTCTGCTATGTTTGAAATCAATGCACCTTTGATGTATTGGCAAAGGCTTTCATGGCAGGAATCACTGGGTTCTGATGTGTTTTCTGGGCTGTATGGCCATGTTCCAGAAGCATTCTCTCCTGATGTTTTGCCTTCACCTATAGCAGGCATCCTCAGAGCTTGTGAGACCTCACAACCTCTGAGGATGCCTGCCATAGATGCAGGCAAAATGTCAGAAGAGAATGCTTCTGGAACATGGCCATGCAGCATGGAAAACACACCACAACCCAATACACCTTTGTTTCGAGAAAATGTGTTGGGAGTGTCTCAATGTATTTCTTTTTCAAAAATTTCACACTTGGGACAAAATTCCCAGTTTTGGCCCCTTTTCTGTCTTTTCTATATTTTTTCTCTGATGCTGTCACTGATCCCAGGTTCAAAATTTGGCACTTCTTCTTAAATTCATGATTTTTTAAAATTCACAGTACTTATAACATGGGTCAGATAATATTGGGGTACGTCTCTGAGATAATATATTCCAAATCGGAGAGATAATGTGTTTGATATGCTTTGAGTAACTCAGTACATGTGTTGTACAGACATTAATGGTAGTAGACTGTTGTAATTCAGATGATAGGCTCCTGCATTTCCTCCCCCTTCCTTTTTTTTTCTTTTCAAGTCACAAATGGGAAAGAACAAGGGATCCAATCTTCCCATGAAAATTAGGCAGCAGAAGCTGGACAGCTGTGTGTGCCAGATAAACACAGCTGTGTATCCTCTTCTATTGATCCATTCACCATAGTTTGCCCCAGGCCAGTTGTTTGATCAGAAAGAACATGACAAAAGTGGGGTACTAAAGTTGAGAGCAAAGTAAATGGGAAATTAAGTTACCACTCTTAGCGTTGGACTAGCGGCCTGGACATGATAATTCTTTGGAACTTTGGAGATTCCAATACAAA